CTTGGCTTCGGGGGTTGGTTCGCTTCCGCCCTTTTCTCTGGGAGCTCACCCTCTTTAGGGGAGGGGACGGGATCCTCCAGGTGGCCCTTCAGGCGGACGCCCCCCAGGAGGGGGGACCCAGGCAGGGGGCAGGGCTGCGTCCTCGGTGCACAGCAGCGGCCCCTGGCAGGGCACAGCCTTGAGAGCAGCTGAGTCGGGAGGCGCCTGGCGAACGGGTTGGGGCCGAGGGGCTCTGGGGCTGGGTCTCCACCACTCACCGGGCTCCTGGAAGCCCCAGGCCCTAGGGGCCGCCTCTTCCTTCCAACAGCCCGTGTCCAGGGAGGGGGCCTCGTGGTGACAGCCTGCTCCGACTGTCACTGAACGGTCACTGCCTGCCTGGCGTTAGTGTGTGACGGCCACGTGCTCAGTGCCCCACGCGCGTCCCTTCGCCTGGCTCTGCGAGGCAGGGCTCGTGACTGCGGTGCCGTGTGGGGTGCGGGACACGTGCCCCGGGCTTTCCCTGCGCCGAGATGCTCCTGACCGCAGGGCCGCCGGCACTCCTGCCCAGGGGTGTGGTGCCCTCGGGGACCCTGGCTCCAGCTCCCGTCTGCGGGGGACGGCGGGCACTGGCAGCACACGCGTGTGCTGGCAGCTGGGCTTTCAGGCTGTGTGCGGCAGATGCCCGAGACGGCCCTGCCCAGGGAAGGCGGGGGCTGTTCTGCCAGGTCGTCACTTTGTCCCTTCAGACGGGAGGAGGCAGGACACACAGATGCAGGCACTAGCTGCCTTCCAGGGGAGCCCGGTCCTGGATCTGCCAGAGGGCTGCCGGGATGGGTCGGGGAGGCCCTGGGTGCCGGGAGCTCACGGAGCCCCTGTGAGGCCGGGAGGGAGGCGGGCGGCGAAGGGCCTTGCTGTGTCCCCTCTGGTAGGGCTGGCTCCTGGGCACAGTCCCTCAAGGAGGACGGTCCTTGGCCGCGGGGTCAGCAGACGGAGCAGCAGCCGCATGCAGAGGCGGCAGCGAGGGCCTGGGGTGCCGGACACCTCAGGATGAGCTGGGCCAGCTGGGGAGGGTCGCGACCCGCAGCAAGGGCAGCGTGGCCGGGACGGAGGGAGCGGCGTGTGCCTCGAGGGGCGTCTGCACGGGTGCATGCACTGCCGGGGGGATGCGGGGGGAGCCGCCGTGCCTGGGCGTCTGCAAGCTCCTGACAGGCAGTGCTGAGCGTGGGGACTGGGGGCGCCAGGCCAGGGCGCTCTGGCGGGTGGTTCCAGGAGCGACGGGCCAGGCGAGTGCGTGAAGCGTGCAGGTGCGGCCCTCAGCCCCACGGAACCCGCGTCTGTGTGGGGACGGGCGTCCCAGGCTGTGCCCCCGCCTGCCGCGAGACTCCTGCTGGCACCGGTCGGGGGTGGCTGGGGGCTGCGGACGGTCCCTCCCCGCTGCCAGCACTGTCGCCCCGGGGACCGCCAGCCACACAGCCACGAGCAGCGGGCCCATCCCAGGGCAGTCTGCGGGCAGCGGAGCAGACCCCCCAGGGGACCCCGCAGAGAGGTGGCCCAGCTGTGCTCTGCCCACTTCCCCAGCAGGGCCCGGAAAAGGCGCTGGTCCGGGGGTCAGAGGGCAGAGACCCTCCCCCCCACGCCCCATCATCCACCCAGGGCTCCGGAGGGTCAGCGCACGCCAGGTCTGTCCCCCACCACCCCTTGGGGTGCCCTGGACCAGCAAACACAGACCCCGTCTCCTCCCCTGGGGGCGGCTGTGGACCAGGCCGGCCGAGGGGGCTGGGGGTGGCCGCAGAGCTGCCCCCTCTCTCTCCTGGGCAGCTGTGTGTGGGCAGCGGAGGGTCCCACACTCCGTGGCCAGCCTGGGGCCGGGTCAGGGTCTGCCCTCAGGCACCAGAGCCGGGCTGGGCCCCTTTGGTTCTCCTGGGCTGGCCAGTGGGCAAGTTTGTGCTCCCGAGTGTGATGCCTGTGGGCGGGCGCGGCCCTGTGCCTCCCTGGGCGGCCTGGGCGCCATGTGGTGGCCCCAGCCCTTCCCTGCCGTGGGCGCAGGTGGCCTCAGCACCCCTGGGCGTGCACCTCCTGCCTCTGCTCTCTCCTGCGGGAGCCGCTCCTCACTGCCTCGCGCCCAGCCTGGGCGAGGCCCTGCAGTTATCCATGGCACCGCGTACTTGTCGTCTGTCGACGTGAGCCTGTGCTGCGTGAAGACAGTAATTAGAGTTGGAGTCACAGTTGGAAAATGCGCCCCGCGAGCTGGAGGGCTGGGTGACTAAGGGTGGCCGTGGCCCCCATCCTGGGGGCTGCAGCTGGTCGCAAAGGCCTCGGACGTGCTGCCCGCTGCCTGCCCCCAGGGGCGTGGCAGGAATGCTCAGCGCCCAGACATTGAGCCGCAGAGGACCCAGGTCTGGGGAAACCAGGTCAGAGAGGGCTGTGCCGCTGCCTGGGGTGTCAGGGAAGCATAATCAAGGAGGGACACGTCTACGCTGGGCATCGAGGGGTGTATAGGAGTCTTCGGGGCAAGGACTTTCTGGGCAGAGGAGCTACAAGTGAAGGAAGGTGGAGACCCGGGGTTGGGCAGAGCTAGGACGCAGCGGGGCTCTCCCTGCAGCCCTTGCCGGAGCCGCGGCAAGGCTCCTTTGCCTGCGCACAGGCAGGAGAGGGAGGCCGTGTTTCTGTCCACTGAGCCTCCGGGAGGGCGCTCGGCTCTCCAGACACCTTGTTCCCGGGCCACGGTCTGCCAGCGTCTGAGGCGTGGTGCCGCTGGGTGGCGTGGCCCCAGTTTCTCATCTGTGAGGTGGGGGCGAACCAGGCCCCGCCCAGAACCGCGCCTGGCGAGGGCGGTGCCCAGCAGCTTTGGCGGCACCGTTGGCGGTCGCGGGAGCAGCACCGTCTTTCACTGCTCAGCTTCTGGAGCGTCGGCCCAGGGCCGCTCTCAGGCTCCCGCTAGCCTTTTGTTGTTGTTGTTGAGACAGAGTTTCATTCTGTCACCCGGCTGGAGTACAGGGTGTCCCTGTAGCTCACAGCAACCTCCAACTCCGGGCTCAAGCGATCCTCTTGCCTCAGCCTCCCTCTAACTCCCATACCCACTTCCTTTCCTTTTTTGGAAGCAGGACCACATCGTCCACGGGAATGCCTGGCTCCTGTCATTGAGGGGTGTGCATGTGCGTGCGCTGGACTGTGTGTGTGTGCTGGACTGTGTGTGCGCTGGACGTGTGCGGTGGATGTGTGTGTGCACTTGGACGTGCATGTGCACTGGATGTGTGTGTGCGCTGGACGTGTGTGCGCTGGACGTGTGTGCACTGGGCGTGTGCGCGCGCATGTGTGCTAAACGTGTATGTGCACGTGTGTGCACTGGAAGTGCATGTGCACTGGATGTGTGGTGTGTGCGCTGGACGTGTGTGCACTGGGCGTGTGCGCGCGCATGTGTGCTAAACGTGTATGTGCACGTGTGTGCACTGGAAGTGCATGTGCACTGGATGTGTGCGCGCTGGGCGTGTATGCGCGCATGTGTGTGTGCATGTATGTGCCCTGGACATGTGTGTGTGCGCCAGGTGTGTTTGTGTACATGTGTGCGCTGGACATGCGTATCCGTGTGTGGACTGGACGTGTTTGTGTACACATGCATGTGTTGAATGTGTTTTCATGTGTGTGCTGGGTGTGTGTTCTGGGCGTGTATGTGTGTGGACTGTGTACGTGTGTGCACTGGACTGTGTTTACATGTGCGCTGGATTGCGTGTGTGCACATGCGTGTGTGCCATTCCTGCGCAGGTCCCTGCTGGTCTGTATCCAGCGTCCTCCCGCCACAGTCCATGAGCGTTCCCGTGGCCCACCGGCTGTGCCGTCAGGCTCAGGGCGGCTCGGTGCTCCTGGCCGTGCCGTGGCGTCACCTGCGGGAGGGCACACGGGTGTTCCCGCTCTTGCTGAAATGGGCACCTGCAGCGCCCACCTGCCCTCAGGTGCCGTCTCCCACCTCCCGGCCTTGCCCTGGTGACGTCCTGGGGGGGGAGGGCCAGCTCTTTGTCCTGTGGGGTCTTGGGACCCTCCCGGGGGCCGTCTGGGCCGGCCGGGTCGTGCTTTGTGACCCGCTGCCATCTCTGCCGCCCCATCCCGGGAGTTTGCCTCGTGGGTTTTGAGGAACTTGTTCCCCTTGGGGGTGAGGCTTTCGTCACTGGTCACGCTGCCTTCGCGCATATCCGCGGCCTTTCAGCCTTGCTGGACGGGGTGCTCCTGCTGTTTCCCACGTGTGTGGGCTGAATCCTGCCTTCAGGGGCCTCCTGACCTGGGGTGCAGGCGGCCTCTTGTCTGGGGAGGGGCCTCTTGTCTGGGGAGGGGCCTCCTGGCGTGGCCAGGCGCCCCGGGGCCCTGGGGAGGAGGTGCAGGGTCAGTGCTGGCTGTGGGCTGGGGCTGCAGTGCGTCCCGGAGGTGGTGGTGTCGCTGGGCTGCGGGCGCCACCCGCCCGGCACTGAATTACGGAGGCGGACGCTCTCTTCACTGCCTCCCTGCCCCTCCTGCATGCTCTGAGTGGGAATTGCGGCCCTGCCAGCCCTCGAGCTGCATCAAAGGCCACTGGAGAGAGGCCCCGGGAGCATGCCGGCCCCTCCCCCGACCCTTCCTCACAAGCACACCCTCCCGGCCTCCCTGTCCCTGAGCATCTGCGTGGGGCAGGGACTCCTGCTGCCGGGGGAGCCCGTGTCTTCCACAGAGGGTCCTGGGCGCCCCCCGGCCCGGCTCACTTGATACAGGCTGGCCAGGCCCTGCCACCTGGGGACGGAAAGGGAGGAGGCCCCCCTCGGGCCGGTTGGCTGGGCGGCGGGAGGTGCAGCGGGACGCGGGCGAGGCAGGCCGGGGCAGACTCGGGCAGGCACCGACCGAGAGATACACGGGCCCCCGAGTGAACCAAAATAGCGCAAGAGGCGCAGAAGAGCTAACGGCCAGTGACAGGGTGGGGAGCACGTTCCTGATACACGTGACGGAGGGTTAGTTCCCGTACAAGTCAAAGGGTCCTTGCTGGTTGCCGGGGAGAGCACATGCAGGTGTGCGCACCAGTGTCAAAACATGCAAAGGGAACAAGCAAAGAGCAAACCCGCGCCATCGGCAACGCGGGAAGGTGCTTGACGTCACCAGTAGGTGGCGGCAACGAGGTTCCACCCAGAGCCACGGGCAACCTTTTGGAGCTGGACGTGGCTCTGGGGAGCCCACAGAGCTGGCGTGGCCGCCCCATCTTCACAGATGTGCCCCTGGAGGGACCCACGTCCATCGCGGCCGAGCAGAACTCCCACTCAGGCTCTGTGTGTGTGACACCCGTGGGCAGAGGCTGTGACAACACGGCCCCCACACACCTGGGACCCTCGGTGGTGGGGAGGGCCCTGGGGGGGGCAGCGGGAGGCCCAGGCGGGTGCCCAGTGCCGAGGCCACAGCTCAGTCCAGTGGGGCTTCGGTGGCAGCAGACCGGCTGGGGTGGCCCAAGGTCCACGAGGGAGGGAAGCTGGGTTCCTGGCCGTGACTCACGGAAGGCAGGGACATCTCTGCAGGTGGGGATCTCAGGTGGGATCGTGGGGACAGCCTGCTGGGACAGGGCAGGAGCGAGGCAGGGGCTGGCCCTGGCTCCCCGCTGGGCGTGCCGAAGGCCTGGGGAGGGGCTCCAGGAGGCAGAAGGGCTGGTCGGGGAGGCGGAGCCCCCAGGCAGGGATGCCCTGCAGGTTGGGCACTGCCGCGGCGGCCGGGGTGGTCTGAGCCACGGCCTCCCTCCCGCAGGCCTGGTGAAGCTTGGGATCCACTGCGTCACGTGCCAGAAGGTTGCCATAAAGATCGTCAACCGCGAGAAGCTCAGCGAGTCTGTGCTGATGAAGGTGAGACACCGCCCGGCCAGCCGGGAGGACGGGGCCTCGGGGACCTAACACCTGTCACGTGGGCTCTGCAGGGGGTCCCTGCCCCTGGACTGTCCCTACGGTGGCCCCTCGCCCCGCCCCGCTTGCCTCCTTCCTTCCTCCATGCGGCAGCAGCCCCTGGCTGGGGACAGGGGACGAGGGAGAGGCCCGCGGCCAGTTTCCCCGGTTAGAACAGAGGAGGCCCTTCCCCCGTCAGGGCCAGGCAGGGACCCTGCCCTCCTCCTCCGCTGGGGGCCTGGCCTCAGCTGGCCTCATGGGATGTGGTCACCACTGGGGACAGGGCAGTCCCCACCTGGTGGAGGCAGTTGAGGCCACCCAGCCTGTCAGCGGGTGGGGGGGCTTCCCAGGGCAGCCTGACCCTTACGCGGGGCAGTGCCCAGCTCCCGGACCCTCAGCTTCCTGGCCATGTTCAGGCCTGGGTCGGCTGGGACCCGGCGGGTGGGTGGCATGCTGGGGACCCCTCACCAGAGGCTGTGGCTGAGGTCCTGGACCTTCTCTCTGGCTCATTCCTTCCCCAAGCGCAGGGCTGGGGCTGCCTGGATGGGCAGGAGCAGCAGGTGGGTGGGAGGGAGAGCCAGTTAGGTCTGTAAAGGACCCCAGCCACGGGGGCCACAGGGGCAAGGGCAGGTCAGACAGCTGAACAGGCATCCAGGGAGAGGCAGGTTCTGATCCCACCCTGAGGAGGAGCCAGGTCCGGGTGGCCCACAGAACGTTGCGGAAAGGTGGCCCCACCCGCGGGTGCAGGTACCAGTACCTTGTGGGAGGGGGTGGGCTTGGGGCCAAGCCGGCCTGTGTCCCCGCTGGCACCCGCCATGGGCACAGCTGCTCATCTGCCCTGCGCCCCAGCTCAGAAGCAGGACGGGGCGTCCTCTGGTACCCAGTGGACCCTTCTGCCCCTCCGGGGGCACAGCCTGCCCACGAAGCCCCACTCACGGGGCACGAGCGTGTCCGCCCCTCTTCAGGGGTCTGTCCAGGCCCCTTCTCCTGGGCTCCCCACAGTGAGGAGGGACTGAGCCCAGGCTCCCGGGCAGCTGGTGCAGGGACAGCTCCGTGGGCCCGGGACGGCCACCGGCCCTCTGGCTGGAGGCCTGCGACCGACTCTCCCCAGTCTCGGGGCTGCACCCCTGCGGCCATGGCCCCAGTGAGCGGGGCAGCTCCGGCACCCAGGCTGCTGTCTGCCCAGTGGGTGGGGTGGGGCCTCAGCCAGGGCTGGTGTCCCCTGACCTAGCTCCCCCTGCGGCCCCCCAGCCTCACACCTCTGCCTCCCCCACCAGCCGAGCAGCCCACACGCAGCCGCCGACGGGCGGTGAGGGCAGGGAGGTCGAGCCCCCGCCCCCGCCCGTGGGTGACGCGCTCTGGTCTCTCGCAGGTGGAGCGCGAGATCGCCATCCTGAAGCTCATAGAGCATCCGCACGTTCTGAAGCTGCACGACGTTTATGAAAACAAAAAATATTTGTAGGTATTGCTGGGTCTGGAGAGCCGGGGAGGCAGGGGCCGCGGCGGGCAGGGGGTCCGCGGCCCCACTCGCAGGGCTGGGGAGCGCGTCTGCGGTGCCACTGAGATCCGGGGGTCTCGGCCCGGGTGGCGAGCAGGCCTTGCTCCTGGACCAGACCCGTGGCCAGCTCTGCGGGAGCTCGCAGGGCCGCCGGCTGGAGGCCCGCAAGGGGACAGGCTTCCTGGGGTCAAGGGGCAGGAGCATCTGCCCCCCCACCATGCCCCACCCCAGCCTGCGCCCCCCACGGCTGCAGGGCCAGCAGAAGCCTGCTGGTGGGGCCCTTGACGTGGGGCCCGAGGAGGAGCAGTGCGGGGCTGCAGCGGCCCCGGGTCGTCTGCCCTGGGGTCTGCCTGAGCACCCAGCCAGCCTCGCCCCCCAGCTGCCCCCAGCAAGCAGCTCAGCCTCCTGGGCCTCAGCTTCCCCACTTCTGTGGGGCTGGCTCCCAGCACGCAACGTTCGAGGACGAGGAAGGATGCGGGGCAGCCCAGCTGTGGGCTGGCCACCGTCCTCGTCACTGGGGGGGGGTGGCCGTGGCCACAGGTCAGGGCAGGGTCAGCACCCGCACCTCCTCTGACCCTGGGCTCCGCAGCCCGGCGGCACACCTCACGGTGTCCTGGTGCTGTCCTGGGAGTTTGGGGTGGGGACCGGCGAGGACAGGCACCGTCCACACGGCAATGCGGGGCCAGTCGCTTTCTCGCCGTGTGACACGCGGGGACAGCATGGGCTGACTGCAGCGTGGGGGGCAGGGCTGGCGCGCGGGCAGGTGGGCTGGGCTGGCGAAGGCCTGGGATGGATCAGGAAGGAGCCGGGGCGGATGGACCCAGTGCCTGCCCAGGGCCCCTGCGTCTCGGCAGCCCCGCCCCTGCCGCGGGCACAGCACCCAGCAGGGCACCATCTGGGCTGCGCCGAGCCTCGGGTCCTTCCTGCCCGGAATCCCGCCCAGGGGCGCATCTCTGCCCCACAGCCAGATGTCAAGGCCCCACAGCCTGGTCCTGCACACCCTCCCGACACTGGCCCCTCAGGCCCCCCACCGGGCCAGACCCCACGCTGGCTGCCCCCGGGCAGGGAGGCTGCCGTCTGCTGCTCACGTGCGGCTCAGGGGAGCGCAGGGCACTGTGGGGAGGCACCACCGGACACCCTCTCACCCCCCCAGAAGCAGACAGCTTTCCCCAACCCCAGTGCTCCTGCCAAACTGCGCCCCACCTCGTGTCTCGGCCCCCGCACCGCAGCCCTGTGGGCCTCCGTCCTCCATGCAGGGCCCAGCAGGTGTGAGGGCCTCACTTTGCAGACCAGGGGCGGGCAAATCCGAGAGGCTGCCGGGACGATGCCCGCCTTGGCCCCAGCCACGCTCAGCTGGAGAGCCAAGGCTGTCCCCAGCCACCAGCCTGCCCTCATCCAGTCCCGCTGGGGGCCAGCCCCGCTCCCCCAGGGCCTCTGCAAACGCCTGTCTTCCGAAACTCCTGTTAGGGGGCCACCCAGGAGCCCTGGCCACTCGAGGTCCACCTGCTCTAAGACTCCGGCCCCCAGGGCTCCTCTGGGCCCCCTGGCAGGGCGGAGGCCGGGCGGGCCAGCAGGAGGCTGCGGCGCAGCTAGACAGGGTGATGCCTGCTTGTTTCCCGCAGATACCTGGTGCTAGAACACGTTTCCGGCGGGGAGCTCTTTGACTACCTGGTGAAGAAGGGAAGGCTGACCCCCAAAGAGGCTCGCAAGTTCTTCCGGCAGATCATCTCGGCGCTGGACTTCTGCCACAGCCACTCGATATGGTGCGACCCGCCCCCCCCCGTACCCTTCCCCCCGGGAACCCCGTCCCCCAGGTGCCCACCCAAGGGCTGTGGGATGGTCCTTGACATTTACAGGGGTCCGGCCAGGCCTGTGGGGTCATCCTCCCCCAGAGCAGGAGCCCCCGGGGGTGGCCGGGGGCAACCAGGAAACTGGCCTGAGGTCCAGAGGCCAGGCAGGCACCTTCTGGTTGGCTGCCTATGACATCACCAGGCTGGGCTGCTATTGGCCGGCTGTGTGAGTTGGAGTTTGGGGAGGGGCATGGCCCTGGGCAGGGGTCTCCCTGGCCCGAGGGGCCCAAGTCAGCCTCCCGGTCTTCCTCCGCAGCCACAGGGATCTGAAGCCCGAAAACCTGCTGCTGGATGAGAAGAACAACATCAGGATCGCGGACTTCGGCATGGCGTCGCTCCAGGTGGGCGACAGCCTGCTGGAGACCAGCTGCGGGTGAGTGGCCCCTCCCGGCCGCGGGCTCTGCGGGGCCTGGACAGCTGGAGCGGACCTCTGGGCCTGGGCATGGACCTCCGGTCGGGGGCACGGACCCGTGGGTGGGGGCAGGCCCCTAGGCCTGTGTGCGGACCCTCGGGCAGGGACGCGGACCCCGGGGCCAGGTGCAGCGAGGTGGGGGCGGACAGGCTGCCCTGCCCGGGAAGCCTGCCCTGTCCCAGGGCTCCTGACCTGCCCAGATTAAGGCTGGGACCAGCCTCCACCTCTTGGGGTTCCCGATGTCCATTCGTGGCCGTGGGGCCTGGCCCCGATGGGCTCCCAGGCTTCCTGGCACGGGCTCCCCACAGGACTGTGGGGGGTCTGGGCCACCGTGTGCAGTGGCGGGGCGCGGGAGCAGCTCCAGGCCAGGCAGGTGGCCAGGCCTGGTTGCGAGTCCTGAGCCTCCGTCCCCAGCCTGTCCCCGACCCGCTGCTTTTGCCTTCAGGTCCCCCCACTACGCCTGCCCGGAGGTGATCCGGGTGAGTAGCCGCAGACAGCCCCCCGCCCGCGGGCCGGCTCGCTGGGCGAGCCCCCAGCCCCCTCCAGCCCTGGCTGGGCCGCCTGTCCCTGGGCCGACTCCCCCAAGACCCTCTGCTGGGGCCCTGGACCCCGGGCCCTGCGCGCGCCAACGCCCGGACACTGCCGTCTGCAGGGGGAGAAGTACGACGGCCGCAAGGCGGACGTGTGGAGCTGCGGTGTGATCCTGTTCGCCCTGCTGGTGGTGAGCCTGCCGCCCAAACCCGCCCTCGGCTGACCCGCGCCCCGCCTGGCCGGGGCCCGCC